TTGCATCTCAGTGAAGGTGTGCCGTATTCAACTGAAATGGATGGATGAGTGCTTTGATGGTTGCTCCCTCCCTCTGCTCATGCCTTCAACCAAGACCATTATCAGAACTTACACCACAAAGAAAAAAGGAACTAACAAAACATCAAAAGAAGCTGAGCATTACAGCTGTATTGTTGTGAGTTATCATTTCAAAGCATCTACAGTTTGATGAAGAGACTTTGATGTTTTAGGTAAGGTACCCTCCTCAGCCTTCAGATATGTGGTAGTAGATATATGGTAGTAGAGTAGGGGCCTGAGGGCACACACTTAATATGTTGTGAAATGTGTTGCAAATGTATTGTAATGTTTTTAAAATGGTATAACTGCCTTAATTTTGCTGGACCCCATGAAGAGTAGTTGCTGTCTTCATAATAAATACAAATACAAATACTTACTTATTTTCAAGGAGACATTTATTTTGTTTTATTTCCTGCATTGTTGGTTGCTTTTTTCATCTGATAGAGAATAAACAAGTATACATCTTAGAGGATGGGAAATGCAATTTTAGGCAACGAGCATATCTACCAAATATATTTTGACAAAAACAATACTGTTGTGCTTTGTGAGTTTTGTTGCACTCTTAATTTACACTGAACAAAAATATAAACGCAACATATAAAGTGTTGGTCCCATGTTTCATGAGCTGAAATAAAAGATCCCAGAAATGTTTCATAAGCACAAAAAGCTTATTCTCTCAAATGTTGTCCACAAATTTGTTTACATCCCTGTTAGTGAGCATTTCTCCTTTGCCAAGATAATCCATCCACCTAACAGGTGTGGCATATCAAGAAGCTGAATAAACAGCATGACAATAAAAGGCCACTTTAAAATGTGCAGTTTTGTCACACAACATGCAATTGGCATGTTGACTGCAGGAATATCCACCAGAGCTGTTGCATATCATTTAATGTTAATTTCTCTACCATAAGCCGCCTCCAACGTTGTTTTAGTTGTGAAGTGCCCCATTGTGGAGGTGGGGCTATGGTATGGGCAGGCATAAGCTACGGACAACGAACGCAATTGCATTTGATCAATGGCAATTTGAATGCACAGAAATACCAAAACAAGATCCTGAGGCCCATTGTGAGGCCCATTTTCTTTAAGGTATCTGTGACCAATATATGTATATCTGTATTCCCAGTCATGTGAAATCAATAGATTAGGGCATAATGAATTACTTTCAATTTACTGATTTCCTCATATGAACTGTAACTCAGTAAAATCAATGAAATTGTTGCATGTTGCGTATATATTTTTGTTCAGTATACAGTGGGGGAAAAAAGTATTTAGTCAGCCACCAATTGTGCAAGTTCTCCCACTTAAAAAGATGAGAGAGGCCTGTAATTTTCATCATAGGTACACGTCAACTATGACAGACAAAATGAGGAAGAAAAATCCAGAAAATCACATTGTAGGATTTTTAATGAATTTATTTCAAATTATGGTGTAAAATAAGTATTTGGTCAATAACAAAAGTTTCTCAATACTTTGTTATATACCCTTTGTTGGCAATGACACAGGTCACAGGTTTTCTGTAAGTCTTCACAAGGTTTTCACACATTGTTGCTGGTATTTTGGCCCATTCCTCCATGCAGATCTCCTCTAGAGCAGTGATGTTTTGGGGCTGTCGCTGGGCAACACGGACTTTCAACTCCCTCCAAAGATTTTCTATGGGGTTGAGATCTGGAGACTGGCTAGGCCACTCCAGGACCTTGAAATGCTTCTTACGAAGCCACTCCTTCGTTGCCCATGCTGAAAGACCCAGCCACGTTTCATCTTCAATGCCCTTGCTGATGGAAGGAGGTTTTCACTCAAAATCTCACGATACATGGCCCCATTCATTCTTTCCTTTACACGGATCAGTCGTCCTGGTCCCTTTGCAGAAAAACAGCACCAAAGCATGATGTTTCCACCCCCATGCTTCACAGTAGGTATGGTGTTCTTTGGATGCAACTCAGCATTCTTTGTCCTCCAAACACGACGAGTTGAGTTTTTACCAAAAAGTTCTATTTTGGTTTCATCTGACCATATGACATTCTCCCAATCCTCTTCTGGATCATCCAAATGCACTCTAGCAAACTTCAGACGGGCCTGGACATGTACTGGCTTAAGCAGGGGGACACGTCTGGCACTGCAGGATTTGAGTCCCTGGCGGCGTAGTGTGTTACTGATGGTAGGCTTTGTTACTTTGGTCCCAGCTCTCTGCAGATTATTCACTAGGTCCCCCCGTGTGGTTCTGTGATTTTTGCTCACCGTTCTTTTGATCATTTTGACCCTACGGGGTGAGATCTTGCGTGGAGCCCCAGATCGAGGGAGATTATCAGTATCAGTCTTGTATGTCTTCCATTTCCTAATAATTGCTCCCACAGTTGATTTCTTCAAACCAAGCTGCTTACCTATTGCAGATTCAGTCTTCCCAGCCTGGTGCAGGTCTACAATTTTGTTTCTGGTGTCCTTTGACAGCTCTTTGGTCTTGGCCATAGTGGAGTTTGGAGTGTGACTGTTTGAGGTTGTGGACAGGTGTCTTTTATACTGATAACAAGTTCAAACAGGTGCCATTAATACAGGTAACGAGTGGAGGACAGAGGAGCCTCTTAAAGAAGAAGTTACAGGTCTGTGAGAGTCAGAAATGTTGCTTGTTTGTAGGTGACCAAATACTTATTTTCCACCATAATTTGCAAATAAAATCATTAAAAATCCTTCAATGTTATTTTCTGGAATTTATTTTCTCAATTTGTCTGTTATAGTTGACGTGTACCTATGATGAAAATTACAGGCCTCTCTCATATTTTTAAGTGGGAGAACTTGCACAATTGGTGGCTGACTAAATACTTTTTTTTCCCCACTGTAGATGTGCTGTTCTATCCAATTTAGATTTCCAGTAAATTCATACACTGTCACAGAAACATTTTTTTCAAAATGATTAAATTATTCAAACGGTATCAGCAGAGTTATTTATGGAGATGCTAAATCTCTTATACACACACACACACACAGGCAGATTGGGCTCAAATAGCTGGAGGGTTTTTTAGATGTGGCTCCAGGCTGTGCTGACAGGCTGTAGCCGAGTGGCAATGTGCCATAGTACTCTGGGTATCAGGTTCAAGTCCTCTCCTCCCCTGTACCCGCTAACACTGCCTGCTGGGCTCTGATAAGCCTTCTCCAGCCTCCTAGCTGGTTCACCCAAGCTACGTCCCATGTACAATGATTCCAGGGTTTGGACATCAATGACTCAGATCACTGTGGGACTTACCTCACAGGTGAAGAGCTTTCCCAGAGTTATCTCCAACTGCTCCAACAAAACCACTTGTAACATTTATCACTTTTAACATTTAAGATAACATTTATCTCTTGTAGACTTTGGCGTTCTAGAATTATCTCAAGTTCAAATCATATCTGGCATCTGAGATGGGCACCATGAGAAATTGAATCCTTTTTCCAAAGCTTTTCATAAATGTTTTATATGCATGGGTCTACTACTTGACTATGAACATATCAATATTCATCCATTATGTTTCTGACTGAAATATATAGTTTCTGGAAAAACCTGTCACAGCAGGTTGTCGAGTGTAAAGCATAGCAGGGAACTGTGCTTGCTTTCATCATAGCGTAAAGATATCCACTACCAGTTTAATTCTACATTTTATATTCCAGCGGTCTCCTCCTGTGAGGGATATTGAGGTCCATTCTGCATTCTGCCACCTACTTATCCTCTCTCCCTCTGAGCCAAACCCACTCTTTTATTACAGAGGGGAAGTGGAGTTAGGCCCGTATTTTCCGGCGTAGCATGATGAGGGAACAAAGAATTAGTCTTCAGTGCGAGGCAGTCTCTACGCAAGATTAAAACAAACACAGCTATCACCTTCTGCATCTCATGACACTCATGCATTTTTCATCAACATATCATCTTTGCTCTACCCCTGTTTAAAGGCATTGCAGAAAATACAAAGCATTTTAAACCTGTCTTGACCTTGAATTGCAAAAAATGTTGCACAGGTTGCACATGCTCTATTTCAGTATCTCAAATGTTGCAATAGTAGTGAATACTAAACAGCAGAAACTTGTCATGGCATAACCAGGTTCTACATAAGGAAAATTAGCAGGAGGGACCAGGTACAGTATCTTCAATGTCACACCTGAAACTGTGTTTATTTTCATAAATCAATGCATGGGTGTGGGTGCAGCTTAGTGTGGGATGTGTGCTTGCACTTGTGTCTCTATGGATGCCACTCCTACTGTAAACTCAAAATGGCTAGAGGTGACTGTCACAAGTGGAAGGGCATGGCCTATCCAGCGACCATTAAGAGCCCTTTCACAATCTCAGCCCCTCTACATTAAACTCAAGTGAGAAAAGCAATTACTACAGCACTCTGTTTGATTGAGCTCTCTGTCGATAACCTGTCAGTCACAATCGACCTTTCCATTTCTGACACCACTTTTACTCCCCCACATCACATCCAGACCTGTTCAGATGTGGACGCACAAGAGCAGCCCCTCTCATATAAAGAGATAAGACTTTGCCTTGTAGCACCATTCACTTAAATCAGTTAACTTTTTTAATGCAAAGTCTGGCCTGTATGTGCTGTATTTATACCGCTAGTACTTTCAGAGCTGTTGGTGATAGGTCTTGCTGGATGTAGGACTCAGGGACCAAGACTTTGATTAAACAGACCCCAATAGTGATTGGAAATCTTTGATATGAGAGCTCATGATTGAATCTCCTCTGGTGTGCAGATGGTGGAAAATGACAGTTGGAGTAATGAAACATCATCTGACATGACACATCTGATCATGCTGTGCTTGATCACAGAGATTAGTTTACATGTTGTCTGAGTGAAACACTTACATATAATTAGAGAGCCTGGAGACTCAAGGTCAGCCCTTTGCATAAATATATGTGGAACCAGCTGTAGAGGTGAGAAACCAATACTTTTCATGATTAACAATAGTCAAACATTCAGCTCTAATACAAAATCACTCGTCAAGAAGGAACACAAATATGTCATAATGTTTAATGTCCTATTATCATTCTATCCAGATTGTTGTGTACAATTTGCGTTTTTCACTTTTTCCTCTATTGTCCATAAATGTGAGATAATTTAGGCCTCCAGAAGACAGACATATGATTGAAGGCAAATAATTGTGTTCAGGGATTATGGCGTGATATGAATGAAATCTGTAATCAGAAACAAAACACACTCAAAATGAACTGGTTTGTCAACATGTGCCTGTTCGCTTGTATTACCTCCTTTAGTATCGCAGACTGCAACTATCATTGTCATAGACAACCTCTGTAGCGGATATGGTACATCCTCTGGTTCTTCGTAGGGATATGTATCCTCCATACTTTGTGATGACTTGTTGTTAAGATGCTTTTGAAATTCCTTGACCTTTCCAGGAGCAGACAACAGAGTCTATAGCCTCAATCCAAAGGAACACAATCTTTGTGAAGAGGATAGTCCAAGTGCTACAGGGTAAGGGTTCCATGTCTTTTTTGTAGACATCAGCTGGCCTGTATATGGTGCACCTCCTTGTTGAGACTGCCCTCAGTGTCGTGGAGGTTTGAGCCAGTTCCTGATAGTCCACCTCTGACCAGAGCACCTCTGGACCACCAGCCGCAGGCCGAAGCTGGCCTCTTTAAACATCTCCACCTCCAAACAACGACCAGTGTCTCTGCTGATTATTGGGCCATTCTACAGAAGGAAGAGGAACAAGCTGTGGTTATAATTGCAGTATTAACAAGCAATACAGCTGTGGCAGGAGTCCTTTTTTCCCCCACAAGTCATTACATTTTGAGGTTTTACCTGACTGAAGTCCCAAAGCCTTTGTGATGAGTGTGATGCTCCATCACATATTTTTAGACTTGGCCTCCGCCCTCGTCCCTCGTCCACCAGACATTTGGTGTTGGGCAGGAATGTAGTGGAACCCAGGGGACCAAGCTGCAAAATCCCCTCTGAGGTGTAACGGGCCAGCTAAAAAAAAAACGTCAATGCCAAGTAAACATCCAGTTCTGACAAAATATATGAAAGGTTACACACAAATACTTTCTATACATACACCCACATAGTCGTTGGACAATACAAAACTTGTTGAATACATCTATACACATAGGAATGGTACATGTTCTTGTGTAATCATTGAGCTGTCTCATGAGAAAGATCTTTCTTGATACCGTGAGTACAAAAGGTCATAGTGCCTCTTGAGCTGAACAAGAGCTGTCAAACCAGTGCCTGCTCTTTCAACAGCTGAACTACAACTACCCAGTGGAAAGGCCATCTTGAAATGAAAGATGAGCTATGACCAAGTAAGCCTTCAATACAGCTCTATTGAACATTAGTCAAATCCCATGCAAGGCCCGTCCTTAGTTACTGTTGAAATGTCCAACAAACTTTTGCTGTGTAATTGGCTGAAATACTGACAATGTAGCCTTGATAGATACCACAGGGATATGTGCATGTATGTATGTTCCATGCTAATGAAAGCTAAATTGTTTATGAGCATAATGGACCATACAGATCCCTTAGGTGAGTACATTTGTTATAAATGAGACCCAGTGATCCTATCTGAAGAGTTAATTGTAATTTGACATTATGAGCTTGATCTCTATTTCATTTCACACGCCAAAATGTAGCTTCAATCTAATGAATGTCACAAGTAAGGGCACAGATGATTACAAAATCTGGGGTTGAATTATTAATGGTGAACAACACTCAGGAAACTAGATGCCAGAGAGGATGTTGGAGCCCATCACAGGTGCTGCTGCACTATTCTGAGTAGAGGTAACCTTGTCAAATTGCCCTGTGCCAAGACAATTCATTTGGAATTCACTGAATTACCATGCTAAAGCAAGCTAAAGAAAAGCACAAACAACCACAGTAAGATGAACAATGGAAGGGCTTGAACGCAAAAGGGTAGGGATGCATTACATTTTGTGGATGTGGGCAGGGGCCAGAGCATATGGGATAGTTCTAAATGTTTTCCTGAACTAACATAAGAGCTTGTGTAAGGGGATTACATTTCTATGCATTCAAGCATATAAGGTTCTAAGAACTTTTCCTGACCTGAGATGTCATGCCATGACACGGGTAGAGAATCGCGCTGTTGTCATCATTAGGTCCTTGGTCTAAGCAATAGCCACTGGCCTTGCTGTTTCGCACCTCACCATAGGTGATGGTGTCATTGTACACTCGCATCTCTGGATACACATTCCGCAAGTACCACTGGAAACTGCGACATTGCAATTTCTTCCTCAAGGCGATTCTCTCAGAAACATCTCCAAAATCAACTCCAGGGTTCTGTTGAGTTAGAAAACAATTCAAAGCACCAAAACCAATGACCAGTTAAGACGCAATTGAGCTGTAGAATATTGTTCCCCTTAGGGAACTACACTAGACTCACATTGATAGGGATATTCCAGGCCATGTAGACGTGTGATTTGTAGTCATCCATCCACACCTCGGCTGCCCTCAAGGCATTGCGCTTTGCATAGTAATCAATGTCATCATTGTAGGGTTTCTTGATGCGTTCAATGTGTGCCACCCGAGCACACGGTAAGACCTCCATACTCCCCCCGCACTGCCATACCTGAGACATAACAGTTCAAGAAAGAGAAAGAAAGAAAGAAGCCTGACCACAATAGTAATATAGTATTTTATTCTAAAAAATAAATATTGTTGAGAGAGATGCTGCCGAGGCAATTTCCCAAAGGCACATGGAAAGCTGTTAACAACTTGCAATTGCCCAGTTGCTTTGACATTTTTCAGGCAAAGGGCCACTTCCTTGTGTGTATGATTATACTGTGCTGGTTGTGTTGCCAGAGTCATTTTTAGAGTACCTCTCCATACTCCAGTTTTGTGAGCACAGCACAGAGAGGTACCTCACAATAGTGTTGTAGGGTTAACAATAATATAATTTGGCTTAGATCTCTTTTGATACAATCATCTGTCTCTCATTGGGTTTCTGTTGTTGTGCTGGCTCCCTTTCCCACTGTCTCCATTACCTGGACCAAATGTTTTGTATTTTATTCCCCTCTGAGCGTAATAGGTGCAAACCTGGCCCCTTCTTCTCTTCCTGTCCCCACCCCTCTCTCTCTCCCTCTCTCTCTCTCTCCCTCCATCCGTCTCTATCCTGCTGTCTCCTCTCGTCTCCCGCACACCGCTGCTCAAGTCATAACGATCACGTCGGAAGTGTGAAATAAACCTGTGTGCCAGTGGGACGCTTGTAGGTGACTGCAGAGTTCTGGAACACATTCAGTTCTCACACTGGGACACAACTTCCACACCAATGTCACTGCAGATATTTGACAGTCTACAAACCAAAATATTCCTGTCTCCCAAAAACAATTAAACTATCTCAGTAATATTATTAGAACGTAAAGGAATTCAAATGGGTACAGGCTTTTGGGAAATAAATAATGCACAAATCACCTGACACAGACCATTTTTTGGTGCACTACAAGGGCATGTTTTGTTATTCAGCAGTATACCAGGTGGTGCGGTGCAGGATCACTTCAATCAATATTTATACCAACTGGTCTCCCTGTATGCTTAGAGCCTAATGATTCCTTAATGATCTCAGCAGAGCCAAATAAAACATGCTGGGAGAGAAACGTGTCAGAACAGCCCCATATGTTTCAATAACAAGCCATTGATGCCAAGTCACGAGTTATTGTAGGACCTATGTTAAATGATCCAATGGAATTTTCCATTCTGTTTGATAGTAAAACTGACCCTGTATATAGTATGCTTACTTTGTCGTGTTCTTCTTATTAATTATTGTTATTTATCCTGTGTTTTTGTTCTACCGTATGTTATTTTTAGTATTTCATTGTTATTGATTACTGCATTGTTGGGTTTAGAGCTGTCAAGAAAGGCATTTCACTGTACTTGTGCACGAGACATTAAAACTTGAAACTTAAAAACTTGTTTTGAATCATACTTCAGATAATGGCAGCCTATTCCTTTTTAAGACCCTGAAATCTATTTGGATCACTCAAATGATAATAGGGCCAAAATCAATAGAATAATTTGCTGCCGTTACATTCATATTAAATCACACCCATATCCTTTTTACTGTGACAGAGCTTAATTGAACTTCATGCATCACTTACAGCACACAAACTCTTAAACTCTCCAGTCCCAATTACATAATGATTTCCTTGCTTTATAATCACATTGTAATGGCTAACACATAATGGACCACAGGGTGTGAATCTTACTTATCAGAAGTATAGCCTAAACGAATGGATTACTTTACACAACATACTCTATTCATCAGTTCTTAGTTTAAGCATGTACCACTTAGAAACGTACCCTTATGCCCAATTCAATGTTCTCTCCTCCATACACCTCCATGCCTGGGTCTAGAAGGCCAATCTCTCCAAAGTATTCTCTGTTCACCACAAAGGAGCAGCCAATCATGGCAGGGGTCCTGAACGGAGAAATAACAGATTAGTGCCTAGCAGCCTACCCAGTACAGAAGCGAGTTGGAACATCTTGTATATTTTAAGAACATGTTTTTCAAGCCCACGTTTTCTGTAAAAAAACATGCAGTGCCTATAGAAATTCTACACCCCCATTGGATTTCTTCACATTTGATTGTGTTACAAAGTGGGATTCAAATGGATTTAATTGTAATTTTTTGTCAACGATCGACACAAAATACTCTAATGTCAAAGTGGAAGATAAATTGTAAAAAAAAAAATACGATTAATGAAAAATAAAACACTAATATACTTTGATTAGATGAGTATTCAACCCCCTGAGTCAATACATGTTAGAAACACCTTTGGTAGTGAGTCTTCTTAGAACCAGTAAGTCTCATAAGAGCTTTGCACACCTGTATTGTGCAATATAGAAGAAGCCTCGTGAGATATCAGTCAGTCACATGCAGGAACCAATGTTAATAATGAATAATGAATAATGTCAATCATGCTTATATGACTTGTTTGTGTAGCAGTATATAAGGACTTAAAGGGAACGCCCTTTTCAGAGTTTTCATGAAGCTTGGATTGAGTTTGTGAACCTCTCCGGCCGTGATAATAAAGAGTGATTAATTTGATATTGACTTCAGGTGTCCCTGGTGTTGAATTTCCACCACACATGTTTTGGAATTCTGTATATTTGTATTATTCTTTTCACTCTGTCATTTAGGTCATTATTGTGGAGTCACTACAATGTTGTTGATACATCCTCCGTTTTCTCCCATCACAGTCATTGAACTCTGTAGCTGTTTTAAAATCACTAATGGCCTCATGGTGACATTCCTAATAGTGATGGGGGAAAAGATCTATACAGTTACATATCGGGATATTATGTCTGACGATACACTACATGACCAAGTGGTATGTGGACACCTGCTCGTCAAAACATCTCATTCCAAAATCATGGGCATTAATATGGAGTTGGTCCCCCCTTTGCTGCTATAACAGTCTCCACTCTTCTGGGAAGGCTTTTCACTAGATGTTGGAACATTGCTGCAGGGACTTGCTTCCATTCAGCCACAAAAGCCTTAGTGAGGTCGGTCACTGATGTTGGGCGATTAGTCCTGGCTCTCAGTCGGCGTTCCAATTCATCCCAAATGTGTTCTATGGGGTTAGAGGTCAGAGCTCTGTGCAGGCCAGTCAAGATTTTCCACACCAATCTCGACAAACCATTTATGTATGGACCTTGCTTTGTGCATGGGGGCATTGTAATGCTGAAACAGGAAAGGGCCTTCCCCAAACTGTTGCCACAAAGTTGGAAGCACATAATCTTCTAGAATGTCATTGCATGCTGTAGCGTTAAGATTTCCCTTCACTGAAACTAAGGGGCCTAGCCCGAACCACGAAAAACAGCCCCAGACCATTATTCCTCCTCCACCAAACTTTACAGTTGGCACTATGCATTCGGGCAGGTAGCATTCGCCTGGCATCAGCCAAACCCAGATTTTGTCCGTCGGACTGCCAGATGGTGAAACGTGATTCATCACTCGAGAGAACGCGTTTCCACTGCTCTAGAGTACAATGGCGGCAAGCTTTACACCACTCCAGCCAACACTTTATATCATATCGTATCATTTTGACAATATCGCAATATAATTTTTGCGCTAGTTGGCTGTACCTGCACCAAAACTCCAGTATTTTTCCTTCATAGCTTGTTCTCCATCTTCTTTTTAAACAGGGAGCCAATTTGTTTTCAGCACTTTTATTTCCATAACTGTTCAAAACTAATTTTCTCATGGCTCTCTCTTGTACCTCTACATCAGCAGTATGTTTGAAATATCGAATCGCAAAAAAAATCACAGTATGAAATCACAATACATATAGAATCGTGAGAATCGCAAAACATATCATATCGGCACCTAAGTTTCGTGATAATATCGTGAGGTCCCTGGCAATTCCCAGCCCTGATCCCTAAGCATTCCTACCTGTGAACAACAGCTCAGTTCAGAAGGACAACTGCATCTTTGTGTCTGGATGCTTTAATACATCATCCACAGCATAATTATTAACTTGACCATGCTTAAAGATATATTCAATGTCTGATTTGTTATTGTTACCCATCTACCAATCACTGCCCTTCTTTATGTGGCTTTCGAAAAGCTTGTTGGTCTTTGTAGTTGAATCTGTGCTTGAAATTCAATACTTGACTGAGGGACGGACCTTACAGTTGTTGTATGTATGGGGGACAGAGGAAGGGGTAAGGTAGTCATTCAAAAATCATGTCAACCGCTATTATTTCACATTGAGCGAGTCCATTTAACTTATTATGTTATTTTACTTCTGAACTAATTTAGGCTTGACTAAACAAAGGGGGTGAATACTTATTTAATTTGTATTAATTTTAAAAAATGTGTGGAATTTTCTTTTCACTTTGACATTATGGAGTAGTTTGTGTAGATCAATGACAAAAATTACAATTAAATATATTTCAATCCAACGTTGTAATGCAAGAAAATGTGAAAGAAGTTCAAGGGGGTGTAGACTTTCTATAGGCACTGTATTGCAGAGTATTGCATCAGAGAACTGCCAAAGCACCTGCCCCCAATAATGTCTGAGAGATATACTGTATTTTTCCCATACCTGATGGGGGCCGTCTCATCTCCTCTGTCCAGCCAGGCCTGAGGGGGAATGATGTACATACACCAAAGGCCCCAGTTGTAACCATGGGCTGCGTTAGCATACTGCTGCACCTCAAACGTGTTGTACTTGATGTTGTCGATCGACGGGAGAATAATACGTGTTCGATCTGCCCTGATTCTGGTTAGGATTGGTTCTGCCCTGTCAAAGGAGGAAAGGAAACACATTTTAGTCACATTTTTTATCTCTATAAATATTCTAAAGGAGTTTGAGATGTTTACTGGTAACTGTACACTGTGGTGTACATGCTGACATGATAGGAAAAGCATGAAAGTAAATCATGTTTCTGTCATCTCATCTGTTCCCAGTGGGAAAATGGGGTCACCACAGTCTGTTCAAGCATTTAATCATCATCATCAAAACATCCTGAATCCTCACTGCTAGCAGAGGAAGGTACAGTTCTCATATTTTTTCACGTCTGTTCCAGAGATCAAAACCAAATAAATAGTAATTTATGTAGCTAACAGTTCTCTGTATTACAACTGTAGTGAAACACTGTTCCACCTCAAAAAGCACAAGAAGGAGGATTTCGACACCCACGATCTCAGAATGTTCTGAAATCGTTTATGTATTTAGAAACAGATAAGATTAGCTTTTCTGTAACATTATTTTATTGAAATATAATTTGATCTCTGAGAAATTAAACTAATTGATTGCATCCAAATTGGCCATTTTAATTTATAGGATTCATATAATATTCAATAAATATAGTACCTAACATCTGATTTGGACCAAACTTTTTTTAACAATGAGTTAGACATGAGGAATCCAGAGAAATGGTCAAAAGCCACCCACGGTTTTTCCGTGTAAAACTTGACTGATGCAATCAGATATAATTTCCATTGTGGACATAACTTTTGCAATATGAGTGCAGTTAAGGAGTCTACATTTCACAGCTGCAATATCATTTTAGAATAAATAGGGTTAACCTCTGAGAGAGAGTGTCACCTTGCCTGAATGAATTGCTCTTTCTAAAGTGGTGTGGTGAAGATGGATTGTGGTGACTACTGTACCTCCTTGTCTTTCCATTACTGAAAGAAAGGATTACCTCTGATATGCAAATAAAAGTGCTCTTCTGTCAGATGCACAAACACTCTCAGCAGATCTCAGTGTAATGAATTCCAGGCTTAAAATAGTACAGTATGTAGCTAAATATTGGAGAACATACAGTGAGGGAAAAAAGTATTTGATCCCCTGCTGATTTTGTACGTTTGCCCACTGACAAAGACATGATCAGTCTATAATTTTAATGGTAGGTTTATTTGAACAGTGAGAGACAGAATAACAACAACAAAAATTCAGAAAAACGCATGTCAAAAATGTTATAAATTGATTTGCATTTTAATGAGGGAAATAAGTATTTGACCCCTCTTCAAAACATGACTTAATACTTGGTGGCAAAACCCTTGTTGGCAATCACAGAGGTCAGACGTTTCTTGTAGTTGGCCACCAGGTTTGCACACATCTCAGGAGGGATTTTGTTCCACTCCTCTTTGCAGATCTTCTCCAAGTCATTAAGGTTTCAAGCCTGACGTTTGGCAACTCGAACCTTCAGCTCCCTCCACAGATTTCCTATGGGATTAAGGTCTGGAGACTGGCTAGGCCACTCCAGGACCTTAATGTGCTTCTTCTTGAGCCACTCCTTTGTTGCCTTGGCCGTGTGTTTTGGGTCATTGTCATGCTGGAATACCCATCCACGACTCATATTCAATGCCCTGGCTGAGGGAAGGAGGTCCTCACCCAAGATTTGACAGTACATGGCCCCGTCCATCGTCCCTTTGATGCGGTGAAGTTGTCCTGTCCCCATAGCAGAAAAACACCCCCAAAGCATAATGTTTCTACCTCCATGTTTGACGGTGGGGATGGTGTTCTTGGTGTCATAGGCAGCATTCCTCCTCCTCCAGGTCTCATCTGACCACAACACTTTCATCCAGTTCTCCTCTGAATCATTCAGATGTTCATTGGCAAACTTCAGACGGGCCTGTATATGTGCTTTATTGAGCAGGGGGACCTTGCGGGCGCTGCAGGATTTCAGTCCTTCACAGCGTAGTGTGTTACCAATTGTTTTCTTGGTGACTATGGTCCCAGCTGCCTTGAGATCATTGACAAGATCCTCCCGTGTAGTTCTGGGCTGATTCCTCACCGTTCTCATGATCATTGCAACTCCACGAGGTGAGATCTTGCATGGAGCCCCAGGCTGAGGGAGATTGACAGGTCTTTTGTGTTTCTTCCATTTGCGAATAATCGCACCAACTGTTTTCACCTTCTCACCAAGCTGCTTGGTGATGGTCTTGTAGCCCATTCCAGCCTTGTGTAGGTCTACAGTCTTGTCCCTGACATCCTCAGAGAGCTCTTTGGTCTTGGCCATGGTGGAGAGGTTGGAATCCGATTGATTGATTGCTTCTGTGGACAGGTGTCTTTTATACAGGTAACAAACTGAGATTAGGAGCACTAGTGCTCCTAATCTCAGCTCGTTACCTGTATAAAAGACACCTGGGAGCCAGAAATCTTTCTGATTGAGAGGGGGTCAAAGACTTATTTCCCTCATTAAAATGCAAATCAATTTATAACATTTTTGACATGCGTTTTTCTGGATTTTTGTTGTTGTTATTCTGTCTCTCACTGTTCAAATAAACCTACCATTAAAATTATAGACTGGTCATTTCTTTGTCAGTGGGCAAACATACAAAATCAGCAGGGGATCAAATACCTTTTTTTTTCCCCTCACTGTATACTGTATGGCACCTAAGTGTTGGGAGGAATCTGCATCTGATTGATGATAATGCATGAGACTATTTTAAACTCCTTTTCAAGTGTCAATCTAAGGGGAAATAAGAATCTGTTCCTCACCATGCTGTGTTGAACTCAACATGTGCGTCGAAGAAGCCAACAACTGGTGCAGTGGCAGCTTTCCAGCCAAGGATTCTGGCCCGTATAAGTCCCTCCCGTCTGCTATTCCTCACAATCTTCACTAGGCCTGGATACTGCTTATTCACATACTGATCCAGGTTCAGCTTTAGCTCCACTACAACAACAAAAATAATCAAGTGTTGGAGCTCAAACTAGAAAACCATAATTTCACGTCTCTCTCACTCTCTCTCTCTCTCTCTCTCTCTCTCTCTCGCTCGCTTTCTCTCCCTCTTACACACACACACACACACACACACACACACACACACACACACACACACACTGTAAAAGCCCTTGTCTTACCACTGTCACTGTTGTCGTCCACCAGGATGATCTCCTTGAGGATGTGTGCAGGTGTGTGATTGACCAGGCTGTGGACTGACCGTAGGATCACTGACAAGGCCTCATTTACAAAGATGAACACCACTGTCATCTGAGGGAGGTCATCTGGGTAAGTCATCAGCTTGCACCTGTCAACACAATTTAGTGAAAAGCTGTCACATCAGTACCCTAAACTCATAATGCTTTATTATGTTACCTTCTGGTTTTCAAGCTGTGAGGGCAGGGTTTAGGACCTACTTTTTCGGCCTGTAGTCAGGAATGGATCTATCCAGTGGGATTTGATTGCTCAGCTGTGCGTTGTAGCCGTACTCTTCATACTTTCCCCCATCTGGGTCGCGGACAGGGTTTCTCAGAGTTGCAGGGGTCCTGGCCTGCCCCTGTTCCTGGCCCACTGGTCCCTCCAGTACCCCAACCGGCTTTCCCAGACCTGTGGAAAGTCAGAGGAAAATGTCAGACTCATTTTGTCGGAGGTGCCTCAGGATCACAAAAGCAAGCAAGCAGTTACACTTTTCATCTCAATCCGTCAATCATTTGAGCTGTCTCTATTCCCTCTAGAAAGTAAACAAAAGGTGAGCATCTAGATTAATAGGAGAGTTGGCAATTGAAGTATAGACAAGCGAAATAATTGACATGTCTACTGACTGCAGCACCTTGTTTGTGAAAGATAAGATGATGTTGGATGAAATTATAATAAGTCATCTTTATAAACTCCCAGTCTGACTGACAAACAGGATAGCCAGGTTTAAAGGAAACTGAAGGTTGTTGTTATTATTTACCTAGACTTTACTGGTAGGAAGAAATACACAAAAAGGGGACAGGATGATTGACTTGTAATGTGAGTAGAATGGCTTATACTGTCAATTACAGCAGGACCTGGCATCTTGCTAATCCAACTTCTGAATTAATTATGCATTTAAACACTGAATTATAAGTGGCATAGTCAAAACATTGGGAATGAGTTCAAGCAATTATTGTTTGAATAAATTGATTAAATTAGCTTGTCCCTTGAGGGGGATTTTATAAAGCAAACGGATCAGACAAACACCACATTGGATAATGAAGATGAATCAGTAAATGTGATATAACAGTCAAACCTGCTGCAGAAATGTCCCCAACTGGCTTGAATTTCATCACTGAAACCTGATATATAAACCCAGGACCATGGGGTATAGAGATTTCTTATTGGGTGACTTTGTTATTAATTGATTTTAGACCTTGTTTTGTGCAGCAAAGAAGAGGTGATATTTCAGGATAACTAGTTTGTCCTCTACACTTGTTTGCAGCAAGGTTGAGACCCATCAATTAAGGCTGACAGCATCCATCCTCCTAAACTGCTTTGTGGTGGATTTCAATTGAGCTCCTCAAAGAGAATGTTGTTAACTATTTTAGGTGCTAAAAAGAGGGGCAATGGACATTACCCTTCTCATGGAGAGCTACTGGATGTGCAGGCTTTTGTTCCAGACAGTCCTCTAAAACCAATCTGATTCAGCACCTTATTAGTGTCTCTCCAGTTAGAGAGTTGGCCACCCCTACGTGAAAATGCTGTTAATTGACTACAGCACAGCGTTCAACACCATAGTGCCCTCCAAGCTCATCACTAAGCTAAGGACCCTGGGACTGAACACATCCATCTGCAACTGGATCCTGGACTTCCTGAGGGTAGGCAACAACACATCCACCACACTGACCCTCAACACGGGGCCCCTCAGGGGTGCGTGCTCAGTCCCCTCCTGTACTCCCTGTTCACCCACGACTGCGTGGCAACGCACGACTCCAACAGCATCATGAAGTGTGCCGATGACACGACGGTGTTAGGCCTGATCACCGACGACGATGAGACAGCATATAGGGAAGAGGTCAGAGACCTGGCAGTGTAGTGCCGGGACAACAACCTCTCCCTCAACGTGAGTAAGACAAAGGAGCTGATCGTGGACAACAGGAAAAGGACGGGGCTGTAGTGGAGCGGGTTGAGAGCTTCAAGTTCCTTGGTGTCGACATCACCAACAAACTATCATGGTCCAAACACACCAAGACAGTTGTGAAGAGGGCACGACAAAGCCTATTCCCCCTCAGGAGACTGAAAAGATTTGGCATGGGTCCTCAGATCCTCAAAAAGTTATACGGCTGCACCATCGAGAGCATCCTGACTGGTTGCATCACCGCCTGGTATGGCAACTGCTCGGCCTCTGACCGCAAGGCACTGCAGAGGGTAGTGCGTATGGCCCAGTACATCACTGGGGCCAAGCTTCCTGCCATCCAGGACTTCTATACAAGGCGATGTCAGAGGAAGGCCCTAAAAACTGTCAAAGACTCCAGCCACCCTAGTCATAGACTGTTCTCTCTGCTACTGCACGGCAAGCGGTACCGGAGCGCCAAGTCTAGGTCCAAAAGGCTTCTTAACAGCTTCTACCCCCAAGCCATAAGACTGCTGAACAGTTAATCAAATGGCTACCCGGACTATTTGCATTTTTATTTTATTTTACCTTTATTTAACCAGGTAGGCCAGTTGAGAACAAGTTCTCATTTACAACTGCGACCTGGCCAAGATAAAGCAAAGCAAAGCAGTCCCGAGCCGACTAGATGAAAAATCTGTCGATGTGCCCTTGAGCAAGGCACTTAACCCTAATTGCTCCTGTAAGTCGCTCTGGATAAGAGCGTCTGCTAAATGACTAAAATCTAAACCTAAAATCAGTGCAATAAAAACAACAACAACACAGAGTTACACATGGGATAAACAAAACATACAGTCAATAACACAATAGAAAATCTATATACAGTGTGTGCAAATGTAGTAAGTTATGGAGGTAAGGCAATAGTTAGTGAGGGAGATAAGAGTCTCCAGCTTCAGAGATTTGTGCAGTTCGTTCCAGTCATTAGCAGCAGAGAACTGGAAGGAATGGCGGCCAAAGTAGGTGTTGGCTTTGGGGATGACCAGTGAGATATACCTGCTGGAGCGCATACTACGGGTGGGTGTTGCTATGGTGACCAATGAGCTAAGATAAGGCGGGGATTTGCCTAGCAGAGATTTATAGATGACCTGGAGCCAGTGGGTTTGGCGACGAATATGTAGTGAGGGCCAGCCAACGAGCCCCTTATTTTATTCGTATGTATTCTTTTTTGTTTGTTGCACTTGCCGATATACACTCACTGGACTCTAACCACACACACACACATACTACACTGACACTCCAGCACACAAACATACACACGGACTAACACACACACAAAACACAAACACATATGCATATTGATGCTACACACACATACATTCACATTACTTCACACTCTTCACATACTCTGCTGCTACTCTCTGTTTATTATCTATGCATAGTCACTTTACCCCTACCTACATGTACATATTACCTCAATTACCTTGACTAACCCGTACCCCTGCACATTGACTCGGTACCGGTACCCCTTGTATATAGCCCCGTTATTGTTTTTTTATTGTGTTACTATTTTTTCCTTTGGTTTATTTAGCTAATTTTTCTTACTTACTTTTTTTAAATTCTGCATTGATGGTTAAGGGCTCGTAAGGAAGCATTTCACGGTAAAGTCTACTACACCTGTTGTATTCGGTGCATGTGACAAATACAATTTTATTTGATCTAGTTAAAAAAAAACATGTATGGCCAATCACACCTTGTGTATACAGTAATACTGTTAATTATCTAGAATGTTATTTTATATAAAACATAAAGTATAACTCTCCATATGGATTAGACCAGGGATCATCAACTAGATTCAGCCGCAGACCGATTTCTTTCTTGAGTGGATGGTCAGGGGGCCAGAACATAATTACAAATCATTTGCAGACTGCAAATTGACCGCAAGAAGCCCAAACAGATATAATATTTCACTAAAACATAATCATTTCAAACCTTGCTTACATTTGTATAAGATCTCTGTATTATGCGTGGGAATATTTTGAAACATATTTCCAAAATTCAAATCACTTGGAGCTGATTTGCTGGTGTTTTTACAGTCTTATTGTCCCAAAAATTAAATAAAACAAATACAAAGAATCTGCTCAGAATACTTGTGGGGCTAAATAAAATCACAGAGGGCCAAGTTCAGCCTGAAGGCCGCCAGTTGGGGAACCCTGGATTAGACTTTTATAATGCCAGTCTTTTAGAGAAAAACAGAGCACTTTGTCTGGGTTATTTCAGAATTATTTAAAAGCAGATTAGACATTTGGGCTGAAAGTGATGCTGTGAGTGGGACTATAATGGATGAGGTGGATGTGGGCCAGGTTGATCAGTTATTCCAATATCAGATAATGACAATACCCATGGGTTGTACAACAGCTGAGATGTGGCAAATCCAAGAGACACTGTAAAATGCATGATTAACTCAGTAGGGGCACTATAAAAGTAATTCATAAAGCCCTGATGTGGGGTGAAATAAAGTTGCACCAAGCTGACTTGATGTTCATGATCACATGGATCAACAATTTACCGTTCAATTGATGGTAGACTACATCCTCAAGATGCTCAAGCCTCTGAAGAATAGTTTGCTTCTCCACAAAGTTAGTGACTTTCCCATTTCTACGGTTGGATCTTTGCTCAGTGGTCCTGCCGTTCTTCATGAGTTCCTCTGAGCGATCCTGAATTCTGCAGTAAACCGAGAACAGTATAATGCCCACGAACATGCAGATGTTTAAAGTCAACAAAGTTTTTATCCGCCGTGCCCCAGCCATGAAACAGAAGGGAAACCGACAGCATCTACCAGTGATAGAAAAACATGCACAATCCAAGTTTGGTGACCAATCTTTGTTTATGTGTTTATCCTTATAGCCACCTCAGTGCTCCCGCGCAGAAAATGAGATATCCTGTCAGCAGCGCCACTATCGCCGCAGGGATTATAGTAGGCAAGAAGACTGTCTATAAAAACAATATGCCAATGTAGAATCACAATTCCATTCCATTGCACAGGTTATCCTCTCCAAATTGGTTCAAGAGAGAAGAGATTTTAGGGCGAATTTCTGCCCCCCAACCAACTGCTTACACTGCCACATTGTTAGAATGACAGAATCTCTCGCTCAATTGAGCAAAAGTAGGGCTTGTTTTCCACTTGCCAGTAGTAGGCTCAAATCGATGGCAAAAGAAGCGAGTAGGCTAATATCCCATCTGGTTTCCCTCAGTCACCCCTCTTGATGATTTAAAAAAATCATGAAAAAAAATACGAAGGAGTTACTGATGAGACATGAATGTAATCCTTACTCGCATTTTCTCTTGCTCGCTTGATGAAGACTGTTTTAGCAGGCTGACAAAAGGGCCAAGGTATGTCCGATAAGAGCACCGATACTCACTGCTTCTGTACAGAGATAAACGCATCCTTGTTACTGGTCTCTCTCTCTCTCTCTCTCTCTCTCTCTCTCTCTCTCTCTCTCTCTCTCTCTCTCTCTCTCTCTCTCTCCCTCCATCTCTCTGTCTCCATCTCTCTGTCTCTCTCGCTCTCAATTCAATTCAATTCAATTTAAGGGCTTTATTGGCATGGGAAACGTATGTTAACATTGCCAAAGCAAGTCTCTCTCTCTGTTGTGCTGGCTGTGATGCTTAGAAGCCACGTTCTCGTGAATAGCCCTATTACAGTCAGTGTTCAAAGCTGATCAATAGTTGTTTTAATAGTTTTAATCAGTTGAGTTAACAATTGTTTTAATAGTTTTAATCAGTTGAGGTAACAATTGTTTTAATCTGGTACAATTTGTCACCAATTACTTTCAGCAGCTCTGACTTTATATAAATTGCCAATTGTATTTAAATGTTTATTCATCTGTAATCTATTGTGAACCCTTGTGATCTAAACCTATTTTCCCTTATTGATTAAGCAAGGTCATTTGCAATTAGGAACATCTTTGTTTTTTGCTTTACAATATACAGTATGCCTCCTTAAATGGCATATTATATCACGCCAGCTCAAAGCCCATGTCAAACCAAGAACATGACTAGCCTACTTCCATCACCAAGAAACCAAGCCACCAAGGTCAGTCAAGGATGTGTGATGTGCTTTCTAGGAAACACCATGAATAAAGCCAGGAAGTTACACAATATCATTCTGTGGAGTTTTGCTGATGTGCTTTTTGCTGTACAGGTATTTCCCAGAGCACCCCACATAAAGCAGGCGGGTGCTGAATGTGCGTTACTATAATTACACAATCCAACCCGGAGGCCCAAACTGTTCCTCAGGGCAACGGTCAACAGTCTAGACCAGGGGAGGAGGGGTCTGTGGGGCCTCAAATCATACAGAATAAATAAAGCTTGTCCCAAAATCTCCAAAGATAATAAACATCTATGGAGAGAAAATAAATATCCCCTCCCCACATAATCATTATCACATGATGTGTAAAATTGCATAATGCCTTACATAATAAATAAATATCAGCAAGAACTAAATTATATTGCAGTAATAAAGGACTGAAGCCAGCTCCTGTTAAATAATGCTACAGTAGCATTATGCATCGAAGAAGCTGCACCATAAGCTAAAAACAGTAAAGAATAAAGACGTGCATATTTTCCAGGGCCCAATGGCAATACTTCTATTTAATTGACCAAAATGATCCAAGAACTGTCATGGTCTGAGCACAGTCATTTAATATTTTCAATCTGAGGACACTGGGACTAAACACCTCCCTCTGTAACTGGATCCTGGACAGGGCCGCACCCAGATGGTAAGGGTAGGTAACAACACGTCTGCCATGTTGATCCTCAACACAGAGGCCCCTCAGTGGTGCGTGCTCAGTCCCCTCCTGTACTCCCTGTTCACCCATGACTGCATGGCCAGGCACGACAACATCGTTAAGTTTGCTGACTACACAACAGTGGTAGGCCTGATCACGACAACGATGAGACAGCCTATAGGGAGGAGGTCAGAGACCTGGCCGTGTGGTGCCAGGATAAAAACCTCTCCCTTAACATGACCAAGACAAAGGAGATGATTGTGGACTACAGGTAAAAGAGGACCGATCACGGCCCCGTTCTCATCGACGGAGCTGTTGTGGAGCAGGTTGAGAGCTTCAAGTTCCTTGGTGTCCACATCACCAACAAACTATCATGGTCCAAACACACCAAGACAGTTGTGAAGAGGGCACGACAAAGCCTATTCCCCCTCAGGAGACTGAAAAGATTTGGCATGGGTCCTCAGATCCTCAAAAAGTTCTACAGCTGCACCATCGAGAGCATCCTGACTGGTTGCATCACTGCCTGGTATGGCAACTGCTCGGCCTCCGACCGCAATGCACTACAGAGGGTAGTGTGTACAGCCCAGTACATCACTGGGGCCAAGCTTCCTGCCATCCAGGACCTCTATACAAGGCGGTGTCAGAGGAAGGCCCTAAAAATTGTCAAAGACTCCAGCCACCCTAGTCATAGACTGTTCTCTCTGCTACTGCACGGCAAGCGGTACCGGAGCGCCAAGTCTAAGTCCAAAAGGCTTCTTAACAGCTTCTACCCACAAGCCATAAGACTCCTGAACAGCTAATCAAATGGCTACCCGGACTATTTGCATTGTCCCCCCCCCCCCCCCCTTTTATGATGCCGCTACTTTCTGTTTATTATCTATGCATAGTCACTTTAACTCTACCTACATGTACATATTACATCTATTACCTCAACTAACCTGTGCCCCCGCACATTGACTCTGTACCGGTACCCCCTGTATATAGTATTTTTTACTTAACACTTATTTTTCTTAAAACTGCATTGTTGGTTAAGGGCTTGTAAGTAAGCATTTCACTGTAAGGTCTACACATTTACCTGTTGCATTCAGCGCATGTGACAAATACAATTTGATTTGATTTGATTTGATATGTGGATCTGGTAAATCCCTTATTTGCATCTAACAACATTAGCAAACGGTTATTTGCTTGGTGAAATTGATAATGCCGACAAACCAAATCACCCATAGAGAATATTAATGTACAGCTTTACAACCATCAGCATAAACCTGACTTTATAATATATTTTGTATGCTGGGTAAAAACTGCTGAGGGCAGCTTAATGTTTCTAGCAAAAGTTGATTTGTGACCAAAGCAGTATTTCTTTTCAGCAAAGTGAGAGGAATGAAAAAGTCTGCACAGAACAGAAATGCCAACTAATAATATTTTCTTACTTGATCATGCGTTAAAGGGCACAGGACAATAGGCTAAATCAGGGATCATCAACTACATTCAGCCGTGGGACAATTTTTTCTTGAGTGGATGGTCAGGGGACCGGGACATAATTGATCCGAGTTTTGTAATTTTGTATTGTACGTTTGCTTAGCTATTATGTCTACCATACAGGGACATTGAAAAGATTCAGTATCATCGTTAGCTAAAGATGACAAGATTATTTTAACGAGAGCGTTTCTGTCAGGTATTTCAATGTGCACACAGAGAAAGATTTATACAGTTGAATGTGGAACCTGTGGATAAACCATTCATCCCATAGTAAAAGGTACAATGTAAAGGCTAGAGAACTGGATCCAACAGCACAATGAGTGACTTAGAATCATAGAGATAGATAGAGGACTCATCTTTACATGTGTGCCATTATAGGGTCTGTGACAGCATGGGCAGAGCCATTGAGGCTACAACCCATAGGAATCCCCACCCAATTGACAACTTTGACTTCTTTAAAATGGGGGGACCATGGTGGAAGTCCTCAATGGCGCTGCCATTGCTAAAATAGCATTTTGGCCACTAGAGGCCGCTATCATTCTCTGTGCTTGTGATAGAGCTGTGCTGCCCTCTACTGACAGGCATGTTTCTGGTTTCTCAAGGGGTTTTCAAAGAGCCAGGCATTACACCAGCAGAGGGCAATGTAACACAAAATTAAATGGCTGTGGTGACTGCCTGGGCCCATCTAGTATTGAATAACATTGAAGAATTGCGTTACACATTACTGGTTATTCTTGCAAATTTGCCCTGTGATCTCTCAGATCTGTGCGTGACTGAAATGACAGTGTATATTTAGTATTTTTAGTATTTTATTCAGATCCCCATTAGCTGTTGCTGAAGCAGCAGCTACTCTTCCTGGGGTGCACACAAAACATAAAACATGACATAATACAGAAGAACATCAATACACAAGCAGTGCTCAAGGACTGAATAACACACATTTAAAATAAAACAATAGAACAACAAAAAAAGGTCCTAGTTACACACAGTACTGACAGTTACCCACACATCAGTACATAAGGGTATTTCTATAAACTAGGGTACCAGTGAGGATTTCCTACACTGGACAACTTGGTACAGCTGTTGATGTCATTGATATTAATCTGCCATTTTTTTCTTCATGTCATTACATTAAGATATAAAGGGGGATCATAGCTATAATTCAATCAAATTCACAAGTTGATTTAAAACCTATGTTTAACCCTTTATTATGGTTGGTGTCTTGGTGGATTTATCCAAAATCGTGTGACATAAAACATTAATTTTCTGCCCTTGCATTTATGGCAGTGTAAGTTGTCGTTATATCATATATTAAGCATTAATCAGTTAAATTAGACATTGAACTTGAACCCTGTAATAATCCTGGATCTAGCTGTCGGACAGTTTTTTGTATAGAGATCTCAGAAATGCAGTGTAACTACGTAACATTTCGTGTCTCCTTATGTTACGGGGTGAAAACAGTTTTCATGGGCACACAAATCCAAAATAATATATGTATTGCAAAATGTAATGCTTCTAACCTTACCTTGATACTGAAAACC